GAGGATGGTGTAGGTTTAAGTTTATTAGATTGATCAGTATTGCTGAACTATGAAATATTTTTTTTTGCATACAGGTATAACAGAATAGCTTTAGTGTTGTTGTTGTTTTAAACTTGAGTATGAACTTATACAAAATGCAGCAAGATATTTAAAAAACAGTTTTGTTGATTAAAAAAACACTATATCGGATTCATATCGGTATCGGCAGATATCCAAATTTATGATATCGGTATCGGTATCGGACATAAAAAAGTGGTATCGTGCCATCTCTACATAAAACATAATCTGTTTTATATCTGCGCTCCAATAATACAAACCTGTAATGATTTCAGTGCAGAAATCTGCTCCAGAATCCATTTAATGAGTGAAAAGAGAAAAGGTTTAACAAACAGATGAAGGTACCAGGATGGACAGCTGCATAAAAGATTCAATAAAAAAGTTCAAACAAAAACAAATTAAGAATATTTTTCAGTTTTGCAAACATAATTACATCCTCAGTTCAATTAAAAGGGCAGCAGAAATCACCAACATCTAAAAACTCAGAAAATGCAACCTAAATTATCTGCTTGGCTGGATGCTGTGTGAGTGAGTGAACAGGTGAGATGATATCTTCCTTTCTAAGGTGCTGCTGTGCTGGATTGTACTGAACATATTTTATGTACCAGTTTGACTGCTGTGTAGCTGCAGAGGATAAATAATAGTTGAAAAGATCACTATTACACTGGTGATAATGGTGACGATGATGATGTTGCACAGATTCTGAATGCTCTTTCACAGGGGAAAACCGTTTTGACTGTACATTATGTGTCTGGGCGGCGGTCACAGCAAGGAGGGGTGAAGATGGAGCACGATGAGGGTGGAGGGAAGGGGGGTGGTGTTACAGACACGTTTGTCTTTGATAGCTCAGGTGGTCATCACCCGAGGGGGAAAAGAGCATTAATGGGCATTCTCAGCAGCAGACAAGCATAGGCTAGTGCTCCCTCTTCGCCGGCTGCCGTAAACAGGGGGAAGTATGCATCATTAGATTAAGCTGAGGCTAAGTACCTGCAGTCAAGTCCACTTCTTACAGTAGCAGGGTGCACAAACACATCCTCTCTGCTTGGCTTGGACAGAAGAGGGACTAGAGGGATTGGTCAGCTTGCTAAATGATTACCTGTAACACTGAAAGATGTATGATTATAGGTTGCATGATTTGTCAGCATCTCTATTACAGCAATTATGCAGGGTATCATAACTAACCATTTACAGAAAATCTGGATCATATTAAGAGACAAAAGAAGAATCTTTTAAAGGATTTGACCTGTGGGTGAATGCATTGACACAGGCTGAGCATAGCAGGATTATCTGGTTAAACTTAAAAGTCAGAAAAAAAATAATAGTAGAAAACTTCAGAGCAAGAGATTATGCTTGATTTTTGTTAAAGGAAAACATATTTAAAACACACACACACACACACACACACACACACACACACACACACACACACACACACACACACACACACACACAAGAGAAGAGTTGGGAAATCTTGAAGAAGAGACAGAGGAAGAGGAATTTGCCTGAGAGGAAAATGAAGGAAGGTATGCAAGGGTGCCTGTCACTTTGAGGCGCCTGATAGTTCAACCAAGCTGTCATCTATCACACTTAGATATTTCACTATCTATTTTTCATTTATGGGAATAGAATTAATCACAATGCATGCCCTGAAAAGTCTAACAGAGCTTTGTCTCCAGACTCTGAGCAGACCAGAAGGAAGAGACCTGGATATGAGATTGGGCCTGAAGGGCAGATACAGAAGAAAGGAAGAGTCATTGCTGCAGGAACAGCCTGACCTCAGAGGGTGGAAAGATTTACTAGAGTCTAAATCACAGGTCAGTACCTTGGCAACAGTCTCTGGGAGAGCAACCAATGGGATAGAAGTCACAAGTGATGCGCTGCCTTGTTAACTGCCATTCTGACAGACTGTAATGCCAGATATCTTTGGCATGTGGGACTTCTGACACTACAAACCATGTTTTTCTCTTTATGAGTGTCTTGTATTGACTCACTGAAGTAAGCTTACACCGGTATAAATTTTTTATTAAAGGTTTATTTAATCCAAATACCTTGCAAATATTTGTTATTATCATCTGTAACCCTCATGCAGGTTTGATTAACTTACTTTTTATATTGTTTTCAAAAATTTCTTTGTCCACCTCGATAAAATTACAGTGTGGCAGGGTGTAGTCTGCAGAATAGGTGGTGCAGTGAGCTTGGAGAGGAGTGCCAGGGAGGCTAGGCTGGGAACAATATAACAATCAAACCTTCCCACATTTGATTGTAAGACACTGGGACCCAAGGGAGAGCGGAGCTGGAGACAAAGCAGCTGAAAAGCTGGGGAAGCACCTAAGCGAAAAACACTTTTGCCGTAAATAAGCGAACACTTACCTGCAACACTGTCTGTGTGCGTGTCTGTACCACAAACAGTTATCACTGAATGTGATGTGGCATGCATATTTGGTACATTACTATCACATTTTTATATCAAACTGGTCTTGTGTGTGTGAGTGATTTGTGTGTGTGTGATTTCCAACTTTAATAATTTTCCACATTATAGCTAACTTAAATGATTTAGCTTCTATACTTTTAAGACTTTGTAAAAAGGTAATAACAGAACTATATGCTAACCAGTCACACTGCAGAAACTCAGTGCATTTAGGTATTTAAATGCACTGAGTCTAGGCTTTACAAAAAATGGTCTGAAAAAGAGACCAAAATCTGCCATAAACAACATGAAAGCATGGAACCATCCTGCATTGTGTCAATGAATCAGACTGGTGCTGCTGGTGATGTTATAGTTTAGGGGAAATTGTCTCGGCCCACTTTGGGCCCCTTATTCTCATTATGGAAACATGACCAAAATCTCTCAGCAATGTTTTTTTAGGCCTTTCTGGACGTAAAAGTGGATCCAACCTGACACTACTAAGGTGTACCTAATAGAGTGTCCAGTGGGTGCTGTTTAGCAGATGGTAATATGGTTAACACACTAAACTTTGATGATTATCTTTGAATTGTCCTTTGTAACATGCTAACATTTTTTTTAGCCTTTAGCTCATATCACTGCAGTCCCACAGAGCCGTTAGCATTAGCATGGCTGTAGGCTGTGAACCAACCAGCTGTGTATTTACAGATATGGGGCAAAAGATAAGATATGTTGTGTAGGCTGGTTTACTACAGTGCAGTTAAAAAAATAGATTTTTTAGCAAAATGAAGCAAAAAACAAAAAAAACTGTATAGTTTGTTTATTATTTAAACATTTGTTAAAGTGTTACAAGGTTTCACAAAACAGTGACATTTTACAGTCATATACAATTAATTGACGATAAGATGATACTGATCAGTAACAAGTAAACAACTGTATATCAGTCGATAATCTGTAATTAAAATAATTTGCAACTAATTCACACACACCTAGAGTTGTGATAAGAAAGGGTCTCCCCAATTTAAGTGGTTAAATTTCACAATATTGAGCAAATGAACTTGCAAGATGCAACAGGTACTGCTGCTTTCATGACTGTCTGCATACCAGTGTGACCACAGTCTAACTATTACTGTCTTTATCTCTGCCCCCTGCGGCACACAGGTAGAAAACTCTATGTTCTCTTTCCAAAAAAAGGCCCTCTTCTTTAAAACTTCTGTGGGATATGCACATTTGTTTGTGTTTACCCCTACAGCAAAGATTTTTTCATGACAGGTCTTTGATTTTTACAGAGAAAAGCAGATAGAAAAATTGTATGAACAGTAAAAAGCGAAACTATCCGGTATTTTTTTGCTGTACTAAGGACAACATTATTACTCATCTGTGTTTTCTTTCCCACCATCTGAGTGTTTTCTTAGAAAGATTGATGACTGCGTGTTTATCTGGTGTGAATACAGTTGTACGTGGCAGTGAGGAGTTCTGACTGACAGCTGCTCAATATTCTTATTCATAAACACAAGCAGCAATCAGCATAAATCATGTCATTCACACCACTTTATTCGCTTCAAGAAATATTTTTTTTAACGACAGATTGATTTGTTGTTATTTCTCTCTAATTGTCTAACTTGTCACTGATGCACACGCTTATGACTCACAAGCAACACGCCCACATAATGGTCCTGTTGCAGTGGGAAATTTCCCTAGCTCGTTACAATAACTTGCGGGTAGTCAAAAGACCTGTGTGGACGCCCGTTTGCGCTAAAGGACTTGAGGATAATTCCAGATCCCTTCTGGGAAACAACGACACCTGTCAGAGAAAAAGAGCCTCTGGAAATGATCACCGTGTTTACATCAAGCGGTGTTATTGACAGAATTGAGTTAGATGTACTCCGTTCTCTTGCACAGACTGGACACTGATATCAGTGTTTGCCACTGAAAGTAGGTCATGGATAATGGTGAACTACATGTATACATTATTACATGCACATTACATGGTGTTTTTTCTTGAAAAATTTTGTATTTAATCTCAAAAAAGTTTGATAACCTTTGATTCATCTGTCCAGAGCATAGTATTCCTTTGTAATTTATTTAATTCATTTGTGACAGCACTCTGACACCAACAGTTGCTCGAGGATTCCTAGAAAATTTCTGAGGCTATCAGCATCAATATCATCTTTATTTGGCCAAGCTTGTGAAACAAGGAATTTAACTCTGACTCTGTGCAACATTTCAGTTTTTTGAAATCTAAGTATTTATATAGGTTTTTTTTTATTAGTAAAAATAATTTTAAGTCATTTAGAGAGCTGGGCATACCTATTAGCAAACTTCTATCTATTCAAAGCTCTCCATTGCAACATCCACTCAGTGATATGTGTTTAAAAGTCTGAGTCACACACCTGTCTATCCCATACCTGCCACACTACAGTAGCTGTGATCTTTCTCACACATTTGGCAAATCTCCATCCACCTGACACATTTGGCCTTGAAATCACCCATAAATGACCCAGGCACACACAGCAAACAGGGCATTTCGTGAATGAAGATGAGGACTTTCATGCCTTCATTTATGGTTCTCCTGCTTTGCCATCTTTGCAGGGCCCAAATAAACAGCAGTAACAATGATTCTGATGATGAGACAGATTTGGCTGGCACACAGAGGCCCAGCATTGAGGGAAGTGAAGACGATCAGGTGCTTCAGACTGACATCTGGGTTGAGCTGTTGGCTCTGAGAGACTTGGTGGTGGAGCAAAGTGTAGAGCTTAGATACTTGAAAGACAGAGTGACAGTTCTGGATAGCCTGGTGGAGGCCTTACAGAAAGAAAATACAGGTACAGTGATGAGGGAATCACTTCATTAAAAATAGATGCAACTAAGCTTACATGCACTTTTGTTATAGTCATGGAGGCCAGGATGACTGCAGCTGAGATCCTGGTTGAAGAACTGCAGATAAAGAATGATGGTAACTAAATGCCCCCGGCCCTAAATATTGTATTGTTGTGTTCATTTTTACTTACTCATAAACTGTTACAACTTGCTTCAACTTCTCCTATCATGTTTTCTATCATGCTAGCACAAGCTAGAGAGCTTGCAATAGCTCGGCAGGATCTCGGCGCTATCCAGGAAACACTGACAGTCTGTGAACTTCACGTGGAGGAGGTGGAGAAACAGCAGGAAGGTAAAGGGTCAGGGTTTTTGGTGTTTATTCTCTGACTTGTAAATCTTCACAATATACTTCCATTTCAATTATCTCCCTTTTCATCATGTTAGCTCAAGCTAGAGAGCTTGCAGCTATCAGGCAGACGCTGACAGTCAGTGAACTTCGTGTGGAAATGCTGGAGAAACAGCGGGAAGGTAAAGCTTCGGTTTGGGATGTATGGAATGATTTGACTGATTGGTTATTCATGTGTGTCTTGTGATTTCACGGGGAAATACCACAGCGCAAGAGCTTCAAAATATTAACAGAGATAAATACTTTTCTGTTTTCCTGATAAGTGTACAAGAAGTAGATGAATAATTATCAGCATAAATCAGCGACGGTGGCTCAGGGGGTTGGGAATCGCATCTGTAACCGGAAGGTCGCCGGTTCGATCCCTGGGCTCTCTGTCCTGGTCGTTGTGTCCCTGGGCAAGACACTTTACCCTACTTGCCTACTGGTGTTGGCCAGAGGGCCTGATGGCGCGATATGGCAGCCTCGCTTCTGTCAGGCTGCCCCAGGGCAGCTGTGGCTACAACTGTAGCTTCAACCAGTGTATGAATGTGAGAGTGAATGAATAGTGGTATTGTAAAGCGCTTTGGGTGCCTTGAAAAGCGCTATATAAATCCAATCCATTATTATTAATTAGTGGATGATCATTAATGATTCTGAGTTTACTTTATTTATTTATTTATTTACTTATTTTGTTTTCTTGCCACAGTAGTGAAGGTGGCTTTTTCTGCCTCCCTCCTGGAATCTGGTGAAGGTAACATTGAATATGGCTCTGAATTTGCAACACTCATCTTCAGAAATGTCTTTACCAACACTGGAAACCACTACAACCCAAACACAGGTAGGCAGATTAGGCTTCTATTTAATTATTGGTTTCATTAGTTTCACCACAATTAGTTGTGACTTTTTTCTCTCTCTTTTTTAGGTTATTTCACTGCACCAGTAAGAGGAGTCTGCTACTTTAGATTTACTGGTCATATAGCGCACTATGAGAAAAATATGAGGATGAGACTTGTCAAAAATTCTGATGCCATGGTTTTCATTGGGGACTGTCAAACCACAACCACCGATCCTGAGGACAATGCATCCAATGGTGTGGTGTTGCAGTTAGAAGTGGGAGATGTTGTTTCAGTACAACTGTCTGGTAGTGTTTGGGATGACCAGTACCACAGAACAACTTTTAGTGGCTTTCTGCTCTTTCCTTTGTAACTTCCAACATACGAGTTGGACACAAGGCAAAGGTAACATCAAATTCACAGAGGATTTTGTTTCTTAATTTCTCTGCACTGGGTAGGTTTATGGAAACAAACTCATAAACATAAAAGCATGTGTAATTCTGGAGCATTCAATTAATAAATTAAAATTCTCCTACACAAACTTAGTCTTAACTTTAATCTTTGACAAGACTGACAGCCATACAGTAGTTGATATGTCACAAATCTATAGCCCAAACTACATATTTTAAATTATAGGTTCAAGGCAGACACATCTAATTTGAAGCACTGTTAAATGACTTTATGGAAAATGTTATTCTGAAAAAACTAAAGTAATGGTGAGTTTAGATTAATTTACTGACTTACTCAACTCGTTCTAAGCCTCTCACACTCTAATCCATAAAGAGAAAATACAACACTGTTTTCAGTGCAACTAACCACAACCCCATTCGCCAAATAATTAAGAAGTTGTATAAACTATAAACAAAACATAAGCTTTACAGATGACTTGATTATTTAGAGAAGAACTTGCATATTTCAACAAGACAGTGCTAAACTGCATCTATTACAACAGCATGGCTTTGTAGTAGAGTCTGGGCGCTGAACTGTCCTGCCCGTAGTCCAGACTTTTCACCAGTTCAAAGCATTTGGCACATCATGAAACAAAAATATGACAAAGAAGACCCCAGACTCAGTTTCCAGATGTGTACAATCAGTTAAAAGTAGAGAGGATGCTGCACTTTTGTTGGACTAACATGGGCCCATCCCAACTTTTCTGAGCTGTGTTGCTGCTATCAAATTCAAAATTGCCTTACTTTTTCCCAAAAGGGTACATTTACTCATTTGAAAAATGTTATACTTCTTCTATGTTTCTATTATGTATAAAATATGAGCAAATCATCGCATTCTGTATTTATTTACACTTTACACAGTGTTCTAACGTTTTTGGAATTTGAGTCGTGGATGTGTGGATGGTTGTTATTGCAAAGTAGCCATACTGTACATTACTAGTGAGACTGGGGTCAGGTTTTCAAACAAAACCTCCTAACAGGGCCCCAGTTTGGAAAAGGTGAACACATTATGTTATGAAAAAAAGGGGGGCAAAAAACTAAAGAAATTCCTCAGATAAAAGTGGAAGAAAATGACATCTTATGAATGTGATCATTGTTTCCTTTCCTTTGGTGTTTCACATCATAAAGCTCCAGGAATGCAGCTGCATCAGCGTTTGAGCTTTGACTAAATCCATTCAGACTCTTTGTTGTGCAGTCATTCAGATCACACAGGCATACACAGACACACACACACATTACACAACACCACACCTTAGTTATCAGTCATCTAGCATGGGTCCGATAACCATGATCAACACACAACACAGAGGCAGGCAAGCTACATCTCCTTTCACTGCCAGTGTCTGTGATGAACTCTTTCTCTCTCTTTCTTTCGCTGCCCTCTACTTTCCCTGTTTATTTCCCACAATCCACAGAGAACGCTATCAGTCGCAGCTGATCTACAAGCTATCAGATGCCCTCACAGTACAATTTCACACCCTTGCTGGAAGATATGGAGACATTGTCCAATATCGTTACGCATCTACCGCTGTGAAATTTGTAGTTGGTAGGTAGTTAACATTTCTTCAGCCTCGTGAAAGGAAGGTGGACGTCACTATCAAAAAAGGGGTGCTCAAAGGAATAATTCAGCGGTGTTTATGGAAAGAGCCCGGAGTGTATTGGAGACGCGGTGTCTCCTTTGAATTGGATGAGGAGTTTAGATCAGACCTGAAGCTATGGTATGGTTAAGGAGCGCTGTTAGTCTGATCAAACAGCTGCCAATATGAAAAGGACTACCGTATCCTCTCGGCACCTGGGGCTGTGTGAAATGAATGCAGCTTCTATGGTTTCCTCTCTCACAGGCACCTCTTGGGTTGGAAACATTTTTTCATAATTGCATTTAATTCTATGTTAGGTGTCCCCATAGTGCCACTATTAAGGTTGAGGCTAAGCTGGAGAAGCTTTTCACCTTTTGTCATCAAGGCTTCGGCTCGTTTAGAGGTAGTATCATTGATCCAACTTTAAGAACACAAGAAAACACACAGCACATTAAGGTGTATCCCTGTTATTGTCGATATTTGAAATATGCCCATAAATACAGCATTTTAATTGATTATGTGTGCAATATTGTGAAATCCCTCTGTTTTGGGATAATTTAGCCAGCTGATGAATCAGCACTTAACGAGAGAGGGAATTTCCCATTTGAAAACCTTAGTTTCATTAGTCTTTCATTTATTTATTTTTTCTTTGTTCTGGAGCTTAAGGTGTGAAAGCTCATTAAAGCTGTGACAGTGCACGTCTTCTCTGTCTCGTGAACGGCTTTTGCAAGCTGATCTTTTGAAGTGCGAATGTTTTAGTTAGAGCTGAGTGCACCAGAAAAGGCTGCTTAAAGTGTCTCCAATATCATTTGTTTGGCATCTTCTTGGTCAATGAAAAAAATCAATCAGAGCAGGAAGACATGTTTGAAAACCTCGTGAATGTTCTTTAGACACACTCATGCCTCCACTTGCTTGCATGTGTGCATGTGCACCCATACACAAACACACAACAGAAACGGCATGATTTCTTTTGACATTTAAATTAAAGAGGAGGTTCATTAGAGCCTGATAAGAGTCAGCTATAGATTTTCATCAATGCAAACTAACTATAAGGTAATTTATGACATAAATATGATAGCAATTGCTAAGCAAAATCTAAATCATTGTAACAATATGTTCTACATTTTTACATATGTGGAAAGAGTACTTGTTACACATTTAACTCGGTATACCCTTTTCTTGTCACATTTCATGCATAGCTAAAATAGAAATTAAATTTTAAGATAGATCTTGGACAGTGTGCCGTAACAGCTGAACAGATAAAGGAACCCCCATTAGTCTTCCTTCTGCACTCCAAAAAACATGTTTGGTGCAGGATGAGCCCCAAGGCGTGTGAGTGTAAATGTGCATTCCTTTCTGCCTGATTTAAAAGAGAAGTCTCCTCTTTTTTATGCACTTTAGTTGATCAGAGATGAGCAAGAGGCATTCCTTAATCATCACTATAACTATAAAAAAGGTAGACATCATGTGACTACTCTGGAAATTTCTATAGCTTCCAAGAGAGTTTCTATTGAGCAGTAATAAGAGTACTAGGAGATTGAAAGTGACAGCTGGTTTCATAGATCGCAGAGAGGGAAAAGCTGATTTCCGTTTGCAGCAAATGCGTCTATTTGCATGACACGTTTGCATATAACAGCACAATGTGCTGTAATACAAAGGATCCTGGCACCGAATGTACATATTTCAAGCTCTGTGATCCGAACGTTCTGGTGCAGGCAAGTTGCAAGCAACAAAAACACAAAGGAACGACACACACAAGCAGAGACTCATGTAGAAACGCAGGTATGCACACAGAGGGCAGCTCTGAGCCAACAATTCACTGGAAATGAAGCCCTCCACTGTAGCCAGAGTCTATAGATGCATATCTACTCAGAGTCAAACAGCTGATTGTACTCAGACTCAAATGGACATGTTATTGGGTTGTGCAAATGCACACTGTTTTATTAAAAACATACTCATGTTAAATTATTTGGCATGATTAAGTTGCATTATTGAATTTTATAATGAGTAGGTGCACTGCATTAAAGGTTGTTGACAAAGCTCAGTATTAGTGCTGGTCAGAGAGGCTGCAAAGTACTTGGCAATCACTTCACATCTTCAAGTGATGAAATGTACTGGAGTGTTTGTCCAGTTGCATTGGGTAACAGTAGATACTAGAATAAGATAGCCGGTACTATCACGTTTCAGATGTGCAGTTATGGACCTTCAGTTTTGATCAAACCAGGGTCACCTTAGGAAGAACAATGACTGCAGCAGAAGCAGCAGCAGTTTAGACCTGGAGAAGCTGACTTACTGTTTAGGACCCCCTGCAGGATACCAGAGTAACTGCCTCTGCAGGTTATAAGGTTACATCTAGAACTTCTCTCTTTTTATGTAGCTGATATATGTGCATTAGATGAGATTAGATAAAATGATATTAGAAGAAACAAATGGTCTGGGACATGCTGCAACTTTCTGCATCACTTGTAGATTTTAGTGTTTTCTATTCATAGATAAAACACAGTAATTTGTAAGTTTTTTTTCTTGTAAACAAGTTGTTTACACTTGTTTACAAGTGTGTCTGGTCAGCCCCTCCGGCCAACCTACACAGCCAGTGGTTAATTAGGAGGCTACTCACTAAACTAAAATTACATTATGTAAATACTACAGGACTTTTTTGGGAACCCTTTTTTCGTTGCAGTTGTACTTCTGTAGTGGTTAACATATTCACTTGACAAGGGAAAGGTTGCTGGTTTGATTCCAAATGGAAACAAATCTCCTTCAGGGTTGTGTCAGGATGGGTGTCCAGTATCTGCGACTTTAAAGGTCCTGAGTTTGACTCCGCCATCTGTCTGGGGCCTTTTTTGTGTGGAGTTTCCGTGTTATCCCCCTGTTTGCATGGGTTCTCTGCAGCTACCATGCAGTTAGTGGGGCTAGGTTAATTGGTGATTCAAAACTGCCCGTAGGTGTGAATATGAGAGCATATGGTTGTCTGTCTCTCTGTGTGAGCCCTCCATCAGGCTGGAAACCTGTCCAGGGTGTACCCCACTGTGGCATGTTAGCTGGGATAGGATCCAGCCACGACCCTGATGAGGATAAGCGGAAGAGAATGAATGCATGGATGGATCGATAGATGGAGCAACCACCTTATATCAATATAAATATAAATATATCAATGTAGATATAGAAATAGAAAAAAGACGAACCATTCAAGATTATTTAAATGAGTTGGTGGTTGCATAAAACAAATTAATTATATGTGCAACTTCTGCATGGAAGCCAAGCCTGCATAACCAAATAGTAAGAATCAGTGACTTAAAAACTTTAACTGTTTTGGTTACAGAAATTTGCCACATAGGAAAAAAAGT